TTCCCCTTTCAATGCTTTATTCATTMAAATTACTCAATATAATTTCACTCTAGGTTCTTAATCAAGAAAACAACAATCCTTAAGCACTGCAATAGACATAATCAATTCACAGCAAACAATTATAGATTAGTTCTAAGCACTGTAAAACACACTTAATCATGATAGGCTAATGACAGACATTTCCTCTGCATGCTAAGTTCAAAAGTCTTAAGCCTTAGACTTTATGTATAGCAGATGCACACTCGCTCAGATCGCAGTGATCAGGTCCAGAACCAAGGCAGACTTTTCCTGGCGTGGAGTGGACCGCCATTCAGGAGAGAGGATGGTAGGGAGAAGTTGCAGCTCTCACCATTGTCCAGACTAGGCGGTAGAGTTTGAGAGAGGTGAGGATCACAGAAAGGCTCAGGAAATGATTGTGGGAAGCCTTTCTCCCACGTGATCTAGCTACCTCCCTGGCTAGAAGTGAGGCGCTCAGACAAGCTGTGTCAGAGCTTTTCCCCACCCTTCCCAGGTGCTAGGGCTTGTCGTGTGGGGGTGTGACTGACCATTGACCTGAAAACCAGTCACTGACCCTGACCCTGGAATGCCATCCCCCTTGACCTTCATTGGATGGAATTTTCTGCTGAATTTTTTGTTCCCCAATAAAAGCTCACTCTCTGGCGTGCCTCTTTCTCTCTTGCTGGTCTCTTGTGTAAACCTCGCCACCGCCATCAGGTGGCTAAAGGCAAGAGCTGGGGGAAGCCGCCTCTGAGCTGGGCAAGAAAAAGGTAAATTGAGAGTTATGTGTCTTTAATTTGATCTCACTAGTTAATTTCTATGTTTCGAACCTCTAGTATGAAGCTAGTGTGCTGCTCGTGCGGCTGAAGAATGATGACAAGTGATGGGATGTCAGGTCCTCATCAGGCTTTCCAGCTCAAATGCATCCTTGTTTGGGCTGGCTGAATCCCTGTTAATTTGCTCTATAATTATTTACACTAAATTTGGTGGGGGGTTGACCCTCCTTTCAAACCTTATCAGCTACCACTGATATCTCAGTCACATCATTTAACCTGGGGTCAGAAACATTTGGTCTGGTGGTCTCCACCTTGATCTTCTTGGTTTCCTCTTATCAGATGAGGACAGCCTGCCAGGGGCTTCACTCTGTTTATCAGGGTGAGGGGAAGTAACTTGTTTGTGTTCATACTGGAGGGTTCTGTGGGTGTGCCTGGTGAAACTGCACGTTTCAAACTGGAGTTTTTAAAATGGAGTTGCTTAGGCTCAGGTCTAAGGCCATCCTAACACTTAAGTAAATTGGTATTTGGGAGATAAGAGCCCCAAAACCATCTGTGCACGTGTGGCACCTGACCTCACCTTGCTCTACTTTCTCCCGCCTGAGTTTCCCCCCTGAATTTGCAGCTTGCTTTCAAGTATTTCCTCTTTCTCTGGGTATTACAAGGAAACATTGAAAATATGCTAAGAGTTTTTAGGTGCTCTTGCACCATACCTATGGAAGGTGACAATTATTTGCTTGACCCTATTTCACCCATCATTTCACCACATGTATGTGTGTCAAAACATGCTTCACACCTTAAATATACACAATAAAGAACAGTTTGTGCAGTGATGGGGTTCAGGACACACTACCCAAAATATGTCACCTTGGCACTTAAGACAGCAGACGCTGGGCACAGTGGCCAGGCCTGCAATTCCTGCTCGGGATGCTGTGGCAGGAGGATTGCAAGTTCAGGGCCAGCCTCAGCAACTAAGCAAAGCCCCAATCAACTTAGCAAGACTATCTCATAACAAAAAATAAAAAGGACTGAGGATGTGGCTCAGTGATTAAGCACCTCTGAGTTCAGTTCCCAGTACCAAAAAAAGAGAAGACATCAAGGAAGAGAAGGACAGTCACTCTGACCTGCCCTTATCCCTGAGGCAAGTCATAGGACCCTCTTGTAAGAGGTGCCCTCCTGTACTTGGAGGAAAGGATCATCCATATCCCTGAAGACAGGGACACAAGGAAGACTCTGAACCAAGAGGCCTTGTCGAGAATCCCCGTAGTCCCCACTGTATTACATGCCTTTGCCCAACATGCTCATCAAACCCAAGTCTCAGAATGCATGATGGGGCTGGGGTTGTGGCTCAGTGGTAGAGAGTTTGTCTGGCAGCTGTGAGGCACTGGGTTTGATTCTCAGCACCACCTATAAATAAAACAAAGGTCCATTGACAACTTAAAAAAAAAAAAAACCCAAACGCATGAGTTCCCGTGTCTTTGGGTCATTTCCTGAGGCTCCCAGGTCACAGAAAGTTTGCATTAAATAAAAGTGTATGCTTTTCTCTTATAAATCTGTCTTTCGTTATAGGGGCCTCAGCCATGAACCTAGAATGGGAAGAAAACATGCATCTTTTCCTCCACATGTAGTCTACACCACTTTTGTTAAGAGAAATATGCCTTGCTGGTTCAGACAGCTCTGTGTGAGGGCCCAGCCTCAGGTCCCATACAGATGTGCCTCGGCTCTGTGCCCTTGCAGTGAAGATCAAACATTGATATATGTGGTACTGATCACTGCAGTCAGCAGCCGGAAGCAGCCAGAACTGTTGCCTGCAGGTTGGGTAGAACCATCAGGTCCCATTCTCAGCAGGCTGGTAACAGATGCTGAAATGGAAAGGCAGGAAATCATCCACACCCAGACACTTCCAGGCATTCACCTGACCCTCACCGGATTGCAATGACACCAAATAGCTGAATTTCAGCACAGAAGTCCTTCCAGAAGTGCAGAACGCAGTATGAGGTCAGCAGAGTTCTCATCCAGCATCTCAGCCTGCAGGCCTAGGGGTCTCACAGCCACTCCCCTCTGCGTTGTAGGGCAAAGCAGCTATGGATTTTCCTACATGGAAAAGTACAGCTAGGGGCTGGGGATGTGGCTCAAGCGGTAGCGCGCTCGCCTGGCATGCGTGCGGCCCGGGTTCGATTCTCAGCACCACATACAAAGATGTTGTGTCCGCCAAAAACTGAAAAATAAATATCAAAAATTCTCTCTTTAAAAAAAAAAAAAAAGTACAGCTGTGTTCCAACAAGACTCTATTTACTGCCACTGAAATTTGAATTTCTTATATGTTTAATGTATTTTGAAATATTATTCTTTTGATTTTTTTCAACCATTCAAAACTAAGAACCATCCTTAGTTTGCAGGTCATAAACACATAGGTAAGCGGGCAGCTTGCTGACCGCTGCACTAGCTTTGTGAGGTAGGTGCAGGCAGAGGATCTATTCAAGTGGATGCTCAGGGTTTGTTGAGCAAACTCCACAATGCCTCAGGTTCAAAAGAACACCCCAAAGGAATACTGATAGTGTAGTTTTCATACATCTTTCATTTATGTACTTAACTGTTTTATAACATTTATATTTGTTTTTATTTGTTTTTTTAATCAGCTTGGCATTTTTATGGGACAAAAAGATTTCCCCAAATGGAGCCCTGCTTTATAAGGAGTGTACTTCCAGGGGTTTGGCCTATTTTATGATGGTCTAACTTGTGATTATTTCCTGGGAACCTGCAGGGTCCAAGGTCAGGGGATGAGCCCACAGAGATGAGCCCCAGAGGTCATACAATAATATGCAAACTCATCAGGATGAGATTCTAACCACACCTGTCAAATCCTAGTGACATTCCTTTTCTTTTCTGCTTATTTTCTAAACTGGTTCCATGTCCTCCAGGGGTTCTGCAAGAAGGTGAGAGGCAAGGTGTCTAGCAGCTTCCATGCACACACCACCAGCTCCTGCTGCTTCCTGCCATTGCCCTTCCCCACTCTGCCCGAGGCTACACACAGTGGTGATGCTGCTGCATTAATTTACAGCCTGCCATGCTCATTTCCTGACCTGGGAAGTGGGACAACAGGTATTGGTGTCACCTGCAGGATAGCCAGAGCATCAACTCTGGTGCTATGCAGAAAGTTTGCATTAAATAAAAGTGTGAATGGGTGAGGGATGACGCGGTACCAAGGCAAGGGCTGGTCACATCTCTGTGTGACAGGTGGCTGTTCTTGTATTAGATTTGCCTGCCATGCCCTGCTAGGCTGGAGGCCCCTGAGGACAGAGCTGCTGACCCTCTCCTCCCTGTGTCCACAGGTCCTGGTGGGGCACAGGACATTCCCTGATCTGAAGCAACTAGACAAATATAAGTAGCACAGAAGTGATGACAGTCTTCAATAAGGAAGGAAGGAATGGAATTATATGTGCTTTCAATTCTTATTATGATTGCTTTTCTGTATTTGTTATATTTTTTATTTATTCCTGAATCTCTATAGAAAATTCTAGTAAGAAACCTAATATAGTGGGGCTGAGGTTGTGGCTCAGTGGTAGAGTACTTGCCTAGCATGCGTGAGGCACTGGGTTTGATTCTCAGCACCACATACAAATAAATAAAATAAAGGTCCATGAACAACTAAAAAATATTTTAAAAAAGAAACCTAATATGGTATAAAGTTGTGCAAGTGATAGACACAGATAAAGTTCACTACACATTTTAATATATGATATAAAATATTACTTAAAGACATGAACAAGATGGGTACAGCAGCACACACTTGTGTTCACAGTGACTTGGGAGACTGAGGCAGGAGGATGGCAAGTTTGAAGCCAGTCTCAGAGGCTTAGTGAGACCCTGTCTCAAAATAAAAAAATTAAAAAGGCTGAGGATGTGGCTCAGTGGCAGTACACCCTTTGGTTCAATCCCCAGTACAAAAAAAAAAAAAGTAAAGAAATCAAACATTTTATATTAGAAAGCAAAAATAATCATCAAACTCAATCTTGTAAATCCCTGTGAGGAACAAAAGAGACGCCCCCCCCCCCACATTTGACTTGTGTTTTGTCTGCCTTCTGAGAACAACATTGAAATAGCAAACTGTAGAAAATACACACAAAGCTTGTTAAAATGATCACCACAGATGTATTGTTTATCAATTCAAAGAACACTACATTCACTGAATCATTTTATTCATTATTAAATTCCCTTTTGTCAAAACAAAAACACAACACTCTATGCCTCTACTGAAACAGGATGCTTCTTCCAGGAGGTTCTGGAGGGAGGCCAGTCCACGTCAGCAATAGCAACTCAGGCTCTGGCATCATCAATGTAGAAAAAGCAGTTTTTCCTGAGGCAACAGCAAGTTACCAKCACGAATCAGAACATGGCAAACATGTCTGTGCAGTTACTTTGTTTTAGCGACTGAGACATTCAGGTGAACAAGACTATGCTCATAAATACAAGAAGGGGGGCCACTGGTGTCCTCCTCAGGACAGTGCCACAACAGAAGGTTCCGGGCTCTGTGGAGCAGGAGGGCTTTCAAACTTTCTTCAAATATCTTATGGCTGAAAATGATAGCCATGTTATTCAGATTTTAGCTATATTAATGAAAGTTCAAAAGTATTATAAAAACTATAAATTTTAGATTCTCTGGGAATTATAAGCTTTTGACAGATAATTTTCAAATGCATACCTCACACAATTGACATGTAAAGTTCATGTTCATTCCTCTTTCTTGTGATACCCGGCAATTTGTGCCTTGCTCCAAGAGTATTCACAGAAACAGACACGGGAAGAGAGAACACAAAGCTTTCCAGTTGGAGGAACCGCTTCCTTCCCATGTTCAAACCAGTCAGGATTCCAGGTGCCAGGATGTTGGAGACCGTGCATGTCGCACCCCAGGATCACATTGCAGTAACTCCAGGGCACAGGTAGCGTGAACGTCCCCTTCCTCTACCTAATGCTCTGCCTGGCAGCTTCGCTTCCCTGTTCCAGGCACAGTAAAGGCCAAGTTGCACTTCTACTACCCAGTGAGAGGACACTGGGTGACAATGTGTGCTAAGCTGGTCCACAGTCCTTGCTCCTTGTTTATAATTCCATTTCAAGAGCTCTCTCCACAACGGTTTGAATCTTCGAGGTCAGGCAAAGAGCACAAGGTGCTGGGCAACACTGTGCTCCCCTCCACCATGAAGGGGAGCACAGAACCAGGAGAAGGGCCTGGTGCGGGGACACTTAGAAAGTCACACTGCTAAAAGGTCTTGATAACAGGGATGGTTCAAAACAATATTTTTACATACTTTGGAAAAATAGACTTATTTCAAGTATCTTGAAGTGTGACTTGGGGATTTCATCAGTCTCTTGTGTTTTTCCTGCAGTGCCACCTTGCTTTAAAGCCTCCCAGGCTCAGTGCATGGGGAGCTGCTTCTTCACGCTGAGGGAAAGCTCTGTTTGCTCATTAGTCTTCTGTACATCCCGTCTGGTCTTGAAAGCAGTTCTTCATGCTTCCCGTGTTCGGTGATTTTTCCACGGTCAAGAACAGCGACAACGTCTGCATTCTTGATGGTGGACAGGCGGTGGGCAATGACTAACACTGTCCTTCCCTCCATCAGTCGATCCAGAGCCTCTTGCACAAGGTGCTCATTTTCGGCATCCAGCGCACTGGTCAGGGCCACAGGAGCAGACTTTAGTGCCAGAGCAGTGCACAGCCCCAGGGCCACACTCTGGCCCTCCTTATGGTGAACTTCTGTTCTGACCCAAATTTCCCTGCTGGGAGCAGGGACAGCAAGGAGGCAGGCAGGACCCCCCACCTCTAGAACCACGGTGGCATCCAAGCAGAAGGCCCTGTTCAGGTGCCAACTGCAGGGATCAGGGCCCCTCCCGAGCTGGATGCCCACTGGTGCCCCTCTGTCCCCTGCCTCTTGACTGCCATTACTGGCCCAGACTGCCTCACTTCACTGTGCAGGGTCCCTCCTACAGTGGGACACTCCTGAGTGCCTTGTGCAGAACACAGCCCCACATGTGCACACACCCTCACCTGGTCGCTTCATCCAGGAGAAGAATTCTAGGGTTCTGAAGGGAAAATATTTAAAAGAAAAGAAAAAGATGATTTTAGTGGAAAATACAAGTTTTCAGTAATAAGACAGAACCACATTTGACATGTGCCACAGTGTGGGTGGGCCTTGGAGCATCATGCTCAGGGAGGGACCACACTGGCGTGGTTCCACCTGGGCAACTTTACCAGGACAGAAGCATGGAGGACAGGGCAAAATCAGTGGCCAGCTGGGTCAGTAGAGGGAGAGAGGAGGGGCATGCACAGTGGAGGTCGGGCAGACACCATCAGGGCAATGAAGAGTTCTACAGTTGATTGTGGGTTCTGTGTTCAACCAACTCTAAATTTACTAACAGTCACTGAGAAGTACAGCCAAGATGGGTGAAGTTTATGCTATGGAGATTGTGCTTAAGTGAAGCTGTCTTTAACTCGCCATGTCCCTGAGGGGAACTTGTGGCAGGGGCTGTCCTCCGGGGCAGCTCTCTGACCTGTAGCCAGTGAGGCCCTTCCCTGTCCTGAGGTTGCCTGGACCTCAGCTCTGCACTACTCGACCAGCAGTGGGTACGCAGGCCCAGCATGTGCTGGGTCCCCTGAGTTGGGATCACTGTGTGCAGATGGTTCTTGAGGACATGACTTGCTGCTCTGCTCTCCCTCATAGCCCAAAGCCACGACAGCTCCTGGCCCGAGAAGCCCTTGTTGAACTTGGACATGGCCGCTGGGCTCTGCTTACCTTCCACAAGAATGGTCGACAACCTACGCCCCCTCGCCCCCCAACGCAAAAATAAGGAAGAAAGACGGAAATTACAAACTGTGAGATATCCAAGTGAAAACGGCACCAAACCCAGTCGAGAGGCTTCACACTTACCTTAAGCAGGGCGCGGGCAATTGCAATCCGCTGTTTCTGTCCACCTGACAAAAATAAACAAAAAGCCTTAACAAAAACTCTAGGAATATGCTTTCCTGATGAGGCATGTAGCCATGTGGAGGTACCTTCTCCAGCTGCCTACAGCTGGGATAGAGGGGAGAACAGAGATCTGTTTTTACAATACCTTGTCTTCCCATCAATCTCAGAATTAACAGCAACAACTTTTATCACAGCTACACTAAGGACGCCCCACCCAGCAGGTGTCATCTAAGTGTGTTACCCTACGAGGTGCACCCCAACTGACTCCCACTTTACAGAGGAAAGACTGAGGCACAGGCAAGACTGGGTCTCAGGATCAGAGGTGCAAGCCTAGTCTTGACCAACACAGTGTGGAGGGCTCTGCCTCCACCCATGCACTCCCCCTCAGGGGGTTAGGAGCTCAGATATGGGAGGCTTCTGGACAGCACTAGAAGCATCCAGAATAAAGGGCACCTGCTTCCCCAGTAGACACTGGTCCTTACTCCTCCCATGTGTATGGTCTCCTCTTAACCTGGAAGCCTGTAGTGACACCCTGCCCTTCCACCTCCTGCCCCTCCCTTCCTCCAGGACTCCTCCCCAGCTTCAGGACACTCACCTCCCCATTAGCTTTGTGGTAAGGGCACTCCTTTCTGGCTAACTCACCCAGAAGTTTATCCCCTTTAGCCGGCACCATGGTGCCCTAGACCCAGCCCCTCACAGAAGCTAGCACAGGAGGACGCCAAGATGACCCTCCCTTATCCAGGGCCAGTCTCTGGAGTAGCCGGCCATGGGCTACTTGTGCTTTGAGGCATTCTGGGTGCGGCCAGTGTGCAGGGACCAAGTGCTGGGTCCTCTCAGAACACAGGTGGGCTAGAGCCAGTGCTGGAGAGCATCTCTGCCTCCTCGGGTGGGCATAGATCACCTGCTCTTCACAGTTGCCTTGCTCTACAGGGCTCTGAGTTTCCAGTCACAAAACATCTTTTCTCAGATGAGAAGAAACCTTGAGGAACTGAGTACTGCCCAGAAGCTGTTGGGACAGCTCTGGGCATTAGGAGAGGGAGACTTCGAAGCCATTCACAGAGGTCAGAGGCCGCGAGGCTCTGCCCGTGGCTTTGAGGACAGGACCTGGCCATGGCAGTGGTGCAGTCTGAGGCCAGGGAGCAGGGCACTCCTGTGAGTCCAGCACACAGGGGTGGGGGTGGGGTGGGGGAGTGAGGGGACACTACACGGCAAAGAGGAGACAACAGGCCCACCTGACAGCAGCACACCCTTCTCCCCGACCACCGTGTGGAAGCCTCGGGGGAACTTCCGGATGAAGGCCGCAGCATTGGCGGCCTCTGCAGCCCTCTCCACCTGCTCTGCTGTCACCGAGGAAGGGCAGTCCGCACCATAAGCGATGTTCTCAGCAATAGAGCAAGAAAATAAAACTGGCTCCTACAAATTGGAACAAAGCATGTGTGTCACAAATTCCAAGGCAGAATTCAATAGCACCTCAGTGCCTTGGACTCTGCACAGCACTAGACCCAGATGGGCCCTTGGCACAAAGGACAGGCTCTGCTCTGGCTCTACATCATCGTCCTCCTGCTCCGGCCCCCCAACACTCCGTGGACCTCTGTCTTACCCTAAAGGTGAAGCCAGATTTAAAGATAGGTAGTTAGTGTAGTTAGGTAAATCGGTCTAATATTGAATAAGATAAATAAAATGGAGGCCATTATAGAGAATGGAGTCCAGGAAACCASAGCAGCACTTGGGGAAATTGAAATGTGAATGTCCCCAAGGCCTGGAGCCCATCCTAAGGAAATGTTAATGAAGCAGCTCCCAGCAAATAGGGAGGTGCTAATCAAAAGCTGCCCCAGGCCCTTCCAGCCCAGATTACTCCTTCAGCCCACCTATCTCCCACCTTTTTGGGCCTTCCCACCTGCATTTTTTCCCTGCAAGATAAAGGAAAACAAAAGACATGAGTGTGGGAAAGCTGAAAGAAGATGTTAGCTATAAAAAGGGAAGACCTTCCCCTTCCAAGGATTCTGCCTTTTGGGTACCCTTCTTCCTCTGGGAGAAGTCTTCTCTGCCATCCTTTACGGTGTGCTTCTCTGGTGTTATACTTCAGCATTCGGGGAAGCAAGGTCTTGTCACCAGTAAACAGCGATAACAAAGTGCCTGATCTGAGCACCTGCTATCCTCACCATGCTGCAGATGACACCCTGCAGCAAGAGCCCACAGGGGCCAGCCCACATATACCTGAGCCCCTCCCTCAGGACTGGAGGACCCCTGTCCATCCCCTCCCAGATGACTCCCACTGAGGGTAGAGGGGCTCCTCCTCCTCCTGGGTGGGAGCATATCCTGGCAGCATGTGAAGGGTTCCTAAAGAAAGGCTGCCTGCAGCTTCTCTCCAGTGCTCAGCGTACACCCTGCCTAGCACCCATCACTGCGCCACTGGCCCCAGCCCAGAACTCTGAAACCTGAACTTCTCATGAGGGGCCTTTGCTTGTTTATTCCGAAAACCTGTCGCACAAAGCAAGAGAATGGTTGGTGGTGACATGGGGCTTGGGACAAGCCCCTGAAAGCATCTGCAGTCTCCCTGCATGCTCTAGACTACACGTATTCAGAGAAGCACAAGCCCCAGACCTGGATGAAGCCACTGCTTCAACTAGTTGACGCTTGGGATGTGGCAAAAACCTGCCACAGGACGAGCCTGRCACTCCTGGAAATTTGTGTCCTTCTCTCTTGAGAGGTGCAAGTTCCAGAAAAAGCAAGGGGCAGAAGCAGCTTCAAAGAGTGAATGATGGACAGAGGCCTTGTCTCACCTGACTGACGGTCCCAATCTTGGATCTCAGCCAGGCTGGGTTCAGCTGGCGGATGTCATTGCCATCGAGAAGAACAGCTCCTTGTAGGGGGAGAACAAAGTCGCTGAGCGCCAGGCAGTCAACGGCTAACAGGAACACAGACTGTGCACGGTAGGAGAGTTCCAGTTGCAGGTTTGTGAAGTTTAATGACACTCCCCAAGTGGAGCCCAAGCCAGCATGTGAATTTCAGAGCTAAGAGGGGCCTTCTGGGTGCCAAGTCTAGGGCTCCCTCAGTCGTGGGCTAAGAGCCAGGCCTTATCACCTTCCTCGGCCTGTCCAAGCTCCTCCTCCTGGTGACTTGAGGCCCCACCATCAGATGCCCCAGGAGGGGCCTTGAGTCAAAAGAGAGCTACAAGGGAGAGGCGAGCTGGTCCACTACTGGTCCTCCCAGGGGTGCAGTGCTGAGGTAGTGCAGATCCCACAGCCACCTGATGGGCCAGCACTAGCAGTGGCCTCGAGCTCCACCTGTTCTCGGGCAAAGATCTCAGAGTGGGGGCTGGGGATGTGGCTCAAGCGGTAGCGSGCTCGCATGGCATGCGTGCGGCCCGGGTTCGATCCTCAGCACCACATACCAACAAAGATGTTGTGTCCGCCGAGAACTAAAAAATAAATATTAAAAAAAATTCTCTCTCTCTCTCTCTCTCTCTCTCTCTCTCTCTCTCCTCTCTCACTCTCTCAAAAAAAAAAAAAAATCTCAGAGTGCCCTGGAACACAACCTGGAATCTGCTTTATCAGCCCGCCCAGTGATTTTTGAGCTTTTATTACTCCTTAAAATATCCCCTGTGCATGAATCTAATCCAGGGGAATCTATTTTTTTTTTCCAGGGGAATCTATTATCTGCCACCTGAGAATCTGACCCACGCCACGGCAGAGATCTTAAGTGATCAGAGGCCAACTTCACAGTCCTCACTAGCAGAATTACTTCTGCATGCTGAGGGTACTCAGAGCTGAATGCTAATAACACCAGGAGTGCAGCTCCTCTCCAGCAGAGCTGAGATGCTGAGGGCCAGCTGGAAACCCAGGGGTGCTGTGCCCATGGAAGAGGCTCAAGGGCAGCTCTCTCGACCTTGATTCTATTTGTTTTGCAAGAAACCAGACTTAACTTATTTTGATTTGATTTGTATCTAACTGGCTACGATTATTTAAACTCAGAACTTCATAGCATGTCAAGAGTGAATCCCAACAGCAACTCTGGAGGCAACAGAATGGTCCCTCATCCAGAGCAGGTGGGGCTTCCTGGCTTAGGATCTGCAAGCCAAGTGTGCACAACCTCTCACCAGCTACATGCGGCTTAAACAAGAGTACTAGAAGAGAAACTCTTCATGAAGTCACAACTCTAGTCACTGATAGTCGTTTGCTTGCTGACAACCGTTTTTTTTCAATCCAAATCCAAAGAGATACACACTGATTATCTACTATGGGAAGGATGTAAAAAAGTGAAATCATGTGCTTTTGCTCTTTAGGACGTTGTAATTTGGGGCTGGGGTTGTGGCTCAGTGGTAGAGAGCTCGCCTAGCATGTGCGAGGCCCTGGGTTTGATCCTCAGAACCACATAACAATAAATAAATAAAACAAAGGTATTGTGTACAACTACAACTAAAAAATAAATATTTTTTTAGAAAAAGATGTTGTAATTCAGTTAAAAATAAAATTAAAACTAGAATGACAGCCGGGTACGGTGGTATACACCTGTAATCCCTGCAGCTCAGGAGGCTGACACAGGAGGATCACAAGTTCAAAGCCAATCTCAGCAACATAGTGAAGCCCTAAGAAACTCAGTGAGACCCTGTCTCTAAATAAAAAAACAGAAAAGGGCTGGGGATGTGGCTCAGTGGTTAAGTGCCCCTGGTATCAAAAAACAAACAAACAAACAAACAAACCCAAAAATCCATTAAGAAAATCCCTCCTGGTTCAAAACATTTCAATAGGGCTGTCACATGGGCATGAATCACTGATGGCCAGATGGCCAGACTAAGTGTTTTCTCATGACCAATGAACACCCCCAGGCAGGAGCATCTCTGGAGCTCCTAGGGCTCCTGTGCGCAGCACCTCATGCTATGAGGGGTGCCCAGCAGCCCAAGAGCCCCTTGGCTGCAAGCACGGCCTCACCTGCCTCACTCTTGTTCTCTCAGGGAGAGCTGGAATTCTGAGTTTGAAGAGGCAGAACACAAAATCTGGAAAACTGAGGATGCCTCCCATTTGGGGGAGTTCCTGCCTGGAAGGAGTGGCTGGCGCAGAGCACCCAAAGCTCTGCAGTCAGGAGGGTGCCCTTGCCCACAGCGTGGCACCACTTACCAGAAAGGGGGTCATACAGTCGCAGTAGGAGCGAGACCACAGTTGATTTGCCAGAGCCACTTGGGCCAACCAGAGCTGTGACAGATCCTGCCGGGATGGAAAGACTGAAATCCTGAAATATGGGCACTTCTGGACGAGCCGGGTAGGCAAAGTGCACGTTCTTAAACTGCAAGGCCCCCTGGAAGCTCTTCTCACATAAAGTGACCCCTTCTGAAACACAGGAGGAACCCAGGTACTTAAGGCAAAAACCAAACTTGTCTGAAGATGGACAGGGGATAGGGGGACCCCTGCAGCCACTTAGAGGGCACTCCTGGGGATTGAAGGTGCAGACCTGTCTCTAAGGCTGGCCATGCAGCCACCCTCACCTGCTGCAAACATAGGATCACATGTATAAAGGCTCATTTGATCTCACAGCCGGAGAGTCCAGCTTTTCTGTGGACTTTTCTGTGGTCAGCCTGTCTGGCCTAGCAGTGAAAGGAGATCCAGCCTCTGAGCAGTCTGATGTAAACCCACTGGCCTCTCCCAGCCTACTCTCCTGGTGCAGGGCGTCATGTCACCCTGAATAAATACTTGATGAGGGGAGGGTTACACAATAGTGGAGTCAGAGGTCTGCTCTGCCAGCGCCATTTGCCCTGGTGTGGGAGACAGGGCTCAGCCTCTCGTAGGGTGTGTGTCCAGGGCCATCACACTGGAGAGCACCATCTTGCTGGACCTGCCCACCCCAAAGTGCCTAGGAGCCCATGAGGGTGAAGAGTGGTCATAACCTCTGCCAAGTCTGCTGAGTCTGTGAGCTGGCCCAGGCCCAGGGCTGCAGGAAGCTGCCCACAAGCAAGGAGGAGGCTCCAGCCACTCAGTACCAGGTCCTTCACCCCACCCCAAGTGCCAAGAAATGCAGTCTTTTAAATGTTAGGTCTGGCCCCTTCCTCCCATCCCAACCCCTCACATGTCTGCTTGGTAAACTGGCTGTGGCCCTTCTTGGAGGTCAGTGTCCACACATCTAAGGATGGTGGCCTATAGCAGCCGTCCTTCCTCATCCCCTCTCATAGGAAGCCTGACCCTTTCCCTGCTGTGCATGGGGACCGTGTCCTTGTAATGTGCTGGACTTAAGAAGCCAGACTGCCTCACCCCCAGCAGACAGCAGCCCATTTCACACCCACCGTCAATAGGCATCTGGGGCTGCCTCTCCAAGAGCTCCCAGAGCCGGCCACCGGCACCCAGGCCTTTCATCAGCTCTGAGTAGAAAGAGCTCAGACCTGCAGGAGAGAAGCATCCATCAGCATGGCTCCGCAGCTCCATCCCATGGGAGCCCTGCAGAGGTGCACTTTAAGGTGAGATCTGTCACTTCTGAGTCAGGAGGTGAAACCGTCCTCACCATTCCCTGACCTCCTTGCTTCTGGGCAGCGAGCCGAGGCTGGTGTGCTGAAGGCACTTCCACGTTAGCTGTTTTCCAGTTTGGGTTGGTTATATGGACACAGCCCATCCCTCAGTCAGGGAGCCTCTGTACACAAAGCACTCTGAAAACTGAACCACAGGTGGGTGCGGTGCCCACATCTGTCAGCCCAGCTGCTCAGGAGGCTAAAGCAGGAGGATCACAAGTTCAAGGCTAGCCTGCACAACTTAGCAAGACCCTCAAAATAAAATAAAAAAGGATTGGTGTGCAGCTCAGTGGTGGAGCAAGACAGAGGAAAAGCCTTTGCTTTCAGCTGTTAACAACAAAACCTTTAAGTCAGACACCAGGTGCACTGACACCACAGGACCAGCGTCCTTTAACCAGACCTCAGTCACTTGCCTGGCCTTTCCACCACAGGCTGGGAGGAAAACAAGGCCCACAGCTATCTGCCAGGCTGGCCGGGGTCTTGTGCGAGGTGCAGAAAAAATACTCCAGACTTCACAAAGGCTTTTCCCCTTCCAGGAACAGACAGCAAAAGCTAAACCCTGAAAGACCCTCTCTCCCTTTTCTTCCTTTTTTGTTTTTGAGACAGTATCTCCCTATGCTGCCCAGGTTGGCCTTGAGTGATTGGGCTCCAGTGATCCCTCTGCCTCAGCATCTAAGCAGCTGGGAAAGCAGGCATCCAGCTCTGAGAGAGTCTTGGCAAAAGCAAGCAAGTCTGTTTCATGCACTTGATAATATGTCAAGCAAATATGTCGATATATATATATATATATATATAAACATATATATAGACACACACACACACACACACACACATATTACATCTGAGATTGAACCCAGGGGCTCTTAACCACTGAGCCAACCACTAAGTCACATCCCCATCCCTTTTTACTTATTTATTTTGTTTAGAGGCAGAATTTTGCTAAGTTGATGATGCTGGCTTTGAACTTGCAATCCACCTGCTTCAGTCTCCTGAGCCTTACAGGCGTTACAGGCATGCATCACTGTGCCTGGCATGTGTTGATATTTTTGATTGTTCATTTTGGGTATGGTTAGCTTTGTACAAAAGGAGCTTTATTCCTCAGTGATTTGCCAGTAGTAAAACTATCACCACCACAGGACTGTGTTTTCTGTGTCCACAGATGTTCAGCATCACCCTGGCCTCTGCGAGCAGCATCTGCATCTGTGAGCAGCGGCAGCTGTTTTAACAGCAGGGATAGATGGCTCCCAGCAATGCTGAGCTGCAGGAGGTCTACAAAGACCCTGAATGTCCCAGAGGGCCCACTGGCTACTCTCATAACTGCATTTTCTTTTAAAACCAGTTGGAATAACATCATAGGGAATGTTTGTTCAGATGAAAGCCTGATTTTTAATTCATAAGTCCCCAGATCACTTAAATTATGTACCTCCAATGCTCAGTCCAACCCAGAAGGCATACATGAGGAAGGAAGAGAGCTCGCCCACCGTCATGTGGGCAGCGCCCATAAGCAGTCCTCCCTTGTACAGGACAGATAGCACGATCAGGTTCCCAGACAGTCCTGTCTGTAGGAGGAGAAAATACAGAGTCAGGGAAAACCAAGGGCCTCTTTGGACGCCAAAAGCAGGGACCAGGCCTCTGATTTCCTTCTTCAGACTTAAAATTTCATCTGGATTTCAAACAAAACAATGTTTCAAAATACTGAAATAGTATTAGTATTGCCATAATCTCATCACCATGAAAACCTAGGTGCTGAGACACCCACCAGGCTCCCATTCCACTCACTCTGTTCCGCTTGCAAAGGAAGACTGAGGACCCGTCCCTCACCTACACATCTGATGCTGTGACTCCGTACTGAGCTGGCCCTGGTGCCCTGCTAGACCATCAGGTGGTGTGGGGCCTTGGTAAGGACAGCCTTCTCTAGGTCACTGTTTCCATGTTAACTGTGGCAATTACCAAATCACCTCTAAAGTCCTTTCCAGTTTGGACATATCACTGAAATGTGTCCTATTTAGGTTTATGGCAACCGAGTTCTTACACTTCCTGCTTGAAAGGCTCTGAGGTTATCCAGGTAATCCTTAGTAGGTATCAAATTCATCTGTATCACAATGACACAGAGGCCTGTTCAAACACAGACTTGCTGCCCAGCCCTGGTCGAGGTCGGGAAAGTGGGAACTAAGGGGCCCAGGTGGGACTTACCCTGAGAACCAGCCCAACCTGCCTAGACCACCTTCTCCTCCTGGTATTTACCTGTTTTCCTGATAGTGACTAAGTATTTTCTATTGTGTCAAGAGCCATAGAATAAACATCTCTCACAATACTAGCACCTGCTTTTCCATTCCTTCCAGAATGACCCACTTACTGCTCCAAAGAAGCCAGCCCGAGCAAAGGCCTCCTTCCTTGCCAATTGCATGACGTGGTCCACTCTGTGGGAGTATTTCTCCACCTCAGCCACCTCTTTGCCAAAGGCTCTCACGGTTCTGATATTTCCGATGCACTCCTCTGCTAGCTGCAGGGACACAGGTGCATTACAGGGAGAAGGGGCACACTTGAGTCTAGAAGCAGAAGCAAAATGTGATTCTTATTTAAAACACTATCAATGGAAAGACACTYGTGAAACCCAGCTGGGTCAGGAAAGGATATAGGGCCAAGTACACAAACCACCCCACTGTTGAAAAGCACATCAGACAGACAGAGCCAGATGATTGACAGAGAACAGGCAGATGACACACAGGCTTATGCAGGTAAAAAGAAAGACTTCATAACATTGATGGTATTAATTCTGAAGCAGGATTATCCATGTTTTTGTGTTTTCTCATATTTTCACATTTTTCCAATGATAAGCAAGCATGGCTTTATAACATGAAAATATCAAGTTATTTTCATTTTTTGCAAACCTGGTTTCACAAGGCACTCTAGAACTTGCTTATTGACTTAATGGAGGGCACAGTATCATATAAAAACTATTACCAGAACATGACTAGCTTTTGGCCCTGCCAGAGACAGCAATAGCAAGACATGAGAGAGTGGGACAGTGTCAGGTCAGGTTGGACGTGCTCTGTGACGCGGTGCAATGATTGCAGAGTGAGGAAAGGGAGAGCTGTGCTCTGTGGCCCTTGCTCTGAGCCTATTCCCCTGGACACCACAGCACGGGGAGGCCGTTACCTGAGTGGCTTGTGCCAGAGAGTCCTGTGTGGCTTTGGACAGGTTCCTCAGGTATCGCCCATAAGCCACTGCAAGGATGGACATCGGAGGCACCACACTCAGGACAAAAGTGGCCAGGGCAGGCGAGACAAAAAACTGTGGGAAAAGTGGGGGTGCTCGTTAGGTGGAGCTGCAGTCCTCTCTGCTCTGTGCCAGGGAAGCGGCTTGACAGCACTGTCCCCAGGCCAGGCCGCCTGTCTTAGGAGAGCTTTTCAGACCTCTTTAATCTTCATAAAACCCCATGAGTGCTACACAGAAGTAAAGTGGCACACAGCCAATGGAGAAAGACGGGATGCTCGTGCTCAGGCCAATCCGTACACGTCGGGGCAGCAGGTCCAAAAGTGGGGGCAGATGGGCGTCCAGCAGGGAGAACACCATCTGCTGTGCATGGCAGAGGTGTCCTGTCAACTCTGCAATCCAGTGACCTGTGAAGGGGCACTAGTGTCTGCTCAGCACATGACAGAACCCGCTAGGTCCCATTTGCACAGAAAGCAGGTCTCCTAACTGTCCCCCGGGAACACCAGGGACTGAAGGGAAAGTAACGGGCAGATCCGCCAATTAGGTCTTTTCTCTCAGGGGAAACTCCTGCCAAGCTCTCACACAGTGAGCAGTACCCAGGTGCTGGACAGAGGCCTGGCCCACAGGTGGGAGTTAGATGATGAGGAGGAAGAGGGGCACATGTCCGGGGCCACCGGTCTTGGGAGGCCTCTCCACCACAGGACCAAGCAAGACACGGGACTTGAGGAGGAGCAAGTATGCTCACAGGTCCACGAGGTACTCACAGGCTCAGGGAGCAGCTCACATCCGATGGTGTCCTCCAGGTAGAGAGGCACAGGCCCCCGGGATTCTCCAGGACTGGGGTGAGCCCAGACCACCCTCCCACCTTGTTCTGCATCCAGGCTTAATAAATGTCCTTCTGTTGCCTAACCAGGGTCCCAGCACCAGAAAGGGGCATTTGCGCCAGCACATGTTTTCACACAGGGAGAAAATGGCAGGGTGACGTGGGCAATATCCGTTCTCAGGGGGTGGACCCCAGCCCTGTGCAGGAGGAACAAAGCCCACCACTCCTCCAGAGCAGAGGACCGATCTCAACGATGCTCCATAAGAGGACCACTGTGGCTGGAAGTTTGTTTTTACCCCAGACTCCTGTGTGGGAACCCTAAACCCCAGGGTTGTAGATGAGGCCTGAGGAAGTAACTAAGGCCCAAAGAGGTCAGGGGCAGACCTGGGCTAGGGGAGCATGCTTGCCAGGAGGGGCAGCTCTCTTCTGTGAGTGCATGGCAAGATGCTGGTCACTGACAGGTCAAGGGAAGAAGCCTCAGAATGACCCTGGAATTGCAGCTTCCAGACCACAAGAAACACACGACTGCTCTCTAAGCTTGTGGACCTCAGCTATGGCATCCAGTGAAGGGGGTAGGCCCTTCACACAGGACTCCTACTACACTGGACTCTCCCTCACAGTACAGAGCTTCCCCAACTGCCCTCTCTTGAGCCCCAGGACCATGAAGGCACTTGAGTGTGGGAAGGCATATGTTCCCGGGGTCTGTTTCTCCTGCAGCTATAAAACCATGACACTTCAAAGCTCTTTTCTGCCCTGTACAACAGATCTAGCAGGTAGATGCTAGCAACAGGTCCTTCCGATCCCTGCCGATGCTAAGTGGGATACAGAACAAGACAAAAACTCTTCTTCTTGTAAGAAAGCGTTACAGGGTATGGCCCTCAGCCCCTCATTCAGATACCGCCCATTCAGAAACCGCTGTCAAACAAGAGCCTCAGGTGGCCCTGGGCACGTGAACTATGGCAGGTGTGGCTGGAAAACTGAACTGCTGATTTCACTTAGGGTTAATTAAGATTAATATTCCATGATTGGCAAGCTTTCAAGTATGCCTGCAAACCCTCCTCATGTCAAGCTACTGTTTCACTTGCAAATTTTAGGAAATCTAAAGTTGGATCAGGCCTTGCCAGGGAAAATTCTGCACCCATATCGAGATGTTCCTTACACTTGGAGCTTGGAGTCATAATATGTAAAAAGTAAAATACAGTTCCTCACTAGTGATTGTGACAGGAATTACACGTCAAGATGATAACAGTCATTCACACTGTTAAACAAACACCACCATCATCAGCCCTATGTCCTTTCGCTTTTCTGAGCATGGTCAGAACACTAAGGTCAGGACAAGGCTTTGCCACAGCCATCAGGCCAGCTGTGCTGGTCTGAGAACAAACACTGCCTGAAAGTGAGGCGAGCCAACTAGACAGGCCGAGCCAGCCACCAAGGACAGCACAGCCAGGGGTGCAGAGCCCCTTGCAGGAGCACAGCTGCCACYGTGCAGAAGCGTGGTCTACTCCCGCAGGCCCAGCTCCCCTGCCTCCCACTGCTGGGTTTCCAGGGCTCCCGAGTGCTCAGAAAACCTAGCAACATCAAGAGGGGCTATTCTGTGGAGCTTCTGGAGAGATGCAGGGAGCCCAGTGGGAGAGGAGACCCCGTCACTGCAGCCTCCAGGACAGCTGGCCTCCACCTGTCAGGCTGCAGAGGCCTGGCCCAGCCGAGCCCACCCAGCCATCAGGTCCCCAGGAGAAGCCCACCTACCATCATGCCAATCCCAACTGAGGCCTGGGCTCCAGCCCTGAGCCCRTCTGAAAGGTTTTCAGTCACTGAGCGCCCCAGGAGCGCAGTGTCCGAGGACAGGCGGTTGATCAATTCTCCTGTGCGAGTCTTGTCAAAGAAAGCAACATCCTGCCTCAAAACAGAGGAGAACAGCGAGGTTCGCAGYCTGTTCACAATGCGCTGACCTGTGGAGCAAGCAGAGGGCTCTCAGAGTGCTGCCCATCACCAGGAGAGCACTACGGCTGCACACAGCCTGTCACTGACTTCCTCCTAGGATGGACAGTGCTGCTGATGAGGAGACAGGAGGTACATAGAGAGTATCATGAAGAAGCTGGAATACATTAAATCTTTCCCATTTTCTTATTTATTTTTTGGCACTGAAGGTTGAACCCAGGGGCATTTTACCACTGAACTCATCCCCGTCATTGGTAGTTTTTCACTTTGAGTCAGGGTCTCATACGTTGCTGAGGCTGGCCTTGAACTTGTGAGTCTCCTGCCTCAGCCTCCCTAGGTGCTGGGTTTACAGGTGTGCACCACCACACTCGGAGATTACACTGATCTTTAAAAGGTAATTTTTCTCCTTCCTGGCACCTCTTTTGCAATGAGCTCTGGTGTGAGAACTAGTGAATTGTGCACGCAGTGTTTTATTAACGGAGCGGCACAACAGCCCTAGAGGCAGTGCCCTGGCATCGGTGTTGAGTGTTTTCCTGCCTGCTAACAAGTAGACTTCTCAGAAGAAATACAGCAAAGTTGCCACCCCCGCCGATACACAGCACAGGGCAGAAAGCAGGGTGCCATCCTTAAAGCCTCGGGTGCCAATCTGCAGCCAAGGGCCTTGTTCTCAAACCTCCTATAAGACCCACATGGCATTTCTCCCACTGCTGAGCCCAAGTAGGCAAAACAGAGGCAAGAAGAGAGCGCTGGAGCAACAACAACTCCAATGTTGTTTCTGACTGACTGGGATCTGCTGCCCTGAATGTGATGCTGGCAGAGAAGAAGAGCTGGGCTGGCTCAGTGGGCCCCTGGCCTCTCTGGAGACTCGCTGCCCGAGACCCACCTGAAGACTGCATGAGGTAGACGCGGACGGCATTGGCAGCTGCACCACACAGGAACACGCAGGTCAGCCCCAGGCAGAGGTCAGTCAAACTGGCACTACTGTCCATGGAGGGGCTGGCATAGATGACATCGATGACCTTCCCCAGGAAGAAAGGGGCAGACATGGTAACAACACTGGACACGGCCAGAAACCCAACAGCGGCTGGAAGACAGAAGGCGGCTTAGTGGGGCAGCTGCTGGGGCTCCTTCTCAACTTCCAGACTGCAGGTGGACCCCAGGGGCATGCCACACACCCTGAGAGTCAGCAGGGCATCCCGGATACCATCCTGGCCTCTCCCCACCCTGGCATTCTGCTGCAGCTGTAGACACCTGCTTCTCCCTTGGTATCCTCTCTCCCTTAGCTACAGGACAGACTCCAGGTCAGGTTGGACTCTGTCTAGTATTGCAGACCTCTGAATGACCTTTGGGAAGCAGTCTCTGGACCTGTTACACATCACTGCTGCTGGGGAATCAAGCACTGGGGCCTCAGCACGTGTGGAAATGAATAAGGACACGCGGGTTCGTGTCCCTGAAGACAGACTAGGGGAGAGTCCTGTGGGAAGAGAAGGTACTACAGAATCGAATCAGGAGCACACAACACAGGCATCTGCACCTGTGGGAGGGCAGCAGTGAAGTCTGAACCAGAGCTTGCCACTGTGGCTGTGGTATTGGCAAAGGGCACGTGGCATGCCAGCCGAGCCACGAGCCAAGCTGTGGAGCTAGCCCCTCCCACTGATGAGAATGCAACTGGCATGATCTTGATGGAGAGCAGCCTGGCCCAGAGTCCCTCAGACTGAGAACGCACAATGTCTTTGATCCAAAATAACAGCTCTGAAAAATTCCTGCAGACACACTTCCACAGGCAGTCAAAACAGACTCAGCTGGGTGCTGTGTTCCCACTGAAATCACAGACACTCAGGAAGCTGAGGCAGGAGGATCAAAAACTTGAGGCCAGCCTCAGTAACTGAGTGAGGCCCTAGGTAACTTAGTGAGACTGTGTCTCAAAACAAAAAATAAAAAGGGCTGTGATGAGGCTCAATGTTTAAGCGCCCCGGGTTCAATCCCCAGCACCAAAAAAAAAAAAAAGATGATTCAAGAGTGTTCACTAAGGCACTGCTCATACCAGCAAAAAAACATTCTACTCTTCTGTTGGTGGGGAACAAATGAGATCTACTTTGCAGCATTGATTTTACAAATGCTGTGCAGTCGTTAAGAGGACAAGGTAACCTCACAGGCATGGAAATGGAACCTCCACCAGGATCACTATTGGTTAAAACAAATTCAGGACACAAATGCCCACGAGTGTGCTGTCCTTCTCCCCACACTTCTTATTGGTGCCTTACAGTTGTACATTTGTGTGGTCTTTTACTTTTTGGTTTTTCAAGTTTACATGTGTGCAGGGCACCTGCACAAGAGTGATATCTAACAGCCCCCCAGGTTCTGTCCAAGAGCAGCTCTAGGCAGGTAGGTGCAGCATGACTTCCCATTTGCTGGGTGCCTCTGGTTTGGCGCTCAGTGCACACGTCACACTTAAGGAACACACTAGGAACCACTGGTCCCCGCTAGGCTCAAGGTGGACAGATCCCTGTGAAGAGGAGCCCCAGCACTAGGCGGACAGACGGCGCTGGCTGGTGGCTGGCGCACACAGTCACAGGCTTAAGGAGAGCAAAGTGTAGGCCTCACAGCAGCTGGTGTGCCCAAGAGCTCTGGGAGCACAAGCCTGGGAGTGCAAGCCTGAGAGCTCTGGGAGTGGAAGCCCAAGAGCTCCAGGAGTGCAAGCCTCCCCTCCCCAGGCTCTGCGGCCCCACTACTGCTTCCTCCTCTCCTCATGGGTCTCCGTCTGCCACCGGCTGGCCATCTAAGTGTGCCTGACTTGCTCTGCGTCCACCAGGACAGGAGTGATTTTGGCCTGCCCTGCACCCTGCTCTTCCCCACCTCTGCAGGGATGGGCACAAAGTGAAAGTTCCACACCTGTCGAATGAATGAGCGAACTGACCTTTGGCAAAGGCGGCAGCAAAGGTTCATCAGCCCAAAGTCCTCCTGCACCCCACCAAGAACGTGAGGCCAGGTTTAAAAAGCAGTGCGTCTATCTGGCTAGCATGACACTGGCCAAGGCCGGCTCACCTTGATGTAAGGCCAGGTCTTGTTTCAAAGCACCCTGCGCCTGGCCACAGTGCCCCCAAGGGACTGCAAGTACTGAGAGCTCCCCGCTGGGAAGAGCCGTCCCAGGGCCAAGGACCAACATAGAACCCCCCCAGAAGTACAGCACCTGTGCAGTACCACGAAGGTCCGTCTCCCCAACTGCGCTGGTTTCTCACTCCAGTGAATGGAGCGCCCTGGTGTCTGACTCTGAGGTCTCACACCGTCAAGGGACTCAACACAGAGGAAGGAAAGGCTAGATTCAAGCCCCCTGCAGGGTCACACACCCTCAGGTTTGCTTTTCATTCATCTGAACAGATATCTTAAGGGTGACTGTGTGTTCGGTTGGTGATCGGGTCTCACTATGCTGCCCAGGCTGGTCTTGAACTCCTGGGCTCACATGATCCTCCCACCTCAGCCTCCCAAGTGGCCAGGATCACAGGAGCATGCCACACACCCTGCTTAAAATACACAGCAGCATGTGTTACTGCCATGTGCCTCTTTCTATCACAAGTCAAATGTAGGTAAAGTGAAGATTTCTCCAGCTTTGGGTTGACTGTATCCCTGTGTTCATGGCCTCGCTGTGTGTCACTGTCTCTGACATTGACAGTCAATCTAACTTGCATCTCAGACCCTTGTGAAACTTGTCCCCASCCTTCCTCCAGGACTAAGCCTCTCCCTCGGCCCATCCATCTCTGCCTGACAGGGCTCCACCTCTTCGGCTGCATCTCCTCATACCTTCAGCGCTGCTCTCTCCCCTCCTTCCCTGGCATGGCATTCAGAAACAAGGGAAATACCCTTCGGAAGAGAGGGGAGCAAGTGCAGACTCAGGCTGCTGGGGCAGACACTGGGCTCTCGGAAGAACAGGGCTTGGGGCCAAGCGGCCAGAGGGTGGAATGAGGCGGGGCTGGCTGGATCCCACGTCTGGCTGAGCCGCCTGACCCTGCACAGGCCACTCAACTCCCCTGTGCYTCAGTTTCTATTTTGTGAATGGCAGTACAAATTACACCTCCCCAAGGCGCTGCTGTGAGGAACAGACTGGACGTGTCTGGAGAGCCTGTGGTCCAGGGCCAGTCCCAGCAAACAAAACCGGCTGTCACCTGTGGTACCATCAGTGCAGGAATGGTCCCACCTGGCCTGGGCCACAGGGGAAGGCAGCTGGGGAGGGAGCAGCTTTGGTTTTCAGGCTGTTGGGAGACATGCTGTGGAGGGGGTGGTATGGAGGAGCACAGGAGGGGAGGCCAGGGGCCCTGCATGCAGGGAGGGAGGGAAAGGCACAAGGGGCCAGCAGAGGGGCAGAGGGCTCAGCAGACTCCACAGGTTCCTGGAGGGAGTTGCAGATGAGTCCCCAAGCCCCAGGTGCACCTGCTGCCTCTGCCCACACTGGCTCCTGCTCACAGAGGCCAGACCTGCCCCACCAAGAGCGAGGGGGCCACCCAGCAGACCATGGGAGCCACCCATGTAATGCAATTTTCTAGTTGCCACAATAAGAAAAGGAATAGGGCACCAGACGAGGTGATACACACCTGTGATCCCAGTGGCTCAGGAGGCTGAGGCAGGAGGACTGTAAGTTCAAAGCCAGCCTCAGTGACTTAATGAGGCCCTAAGCAACTTATTGAAATGCTGTCTCAAAATAAAAAGGACTGGGGACATGGCTCAGTGGTAGGCACCCCTTGATTCAATTCCCAGTACCCCCTACATCAAAAAAGAAAAGAAATAAAGCTAGGGCCAAGGCTCTGGGTTCTAACCCTAGTACCATAAAAATAATAATGCTGGGCACAGTGGCGCACGCCTGGGATCCCAGCAGCTCAAGAGGCTGAGGCAGGAGGATCGCAAGTTCAAAGCCAGGCTCAGCAACGACGAGGTGCTAAACAACTCAGTGAGACCCTGTCTCTAAATAAAATTTTAAAAAGGGGGCTAGGGATGTGGCTCAGTGGTTGACCGCCCCTGAGTTCAATTCCCAGTACCAAAATAATAATAATAATAATAATAATAATAATAATAATAATAATAATAATAATGTTTAAAAATAGATAATATTAAATAACATTTTATTTGACCCAATGTATCTAAACCATTATTTGCATGTAACTGACGTTTTACGATTCTCTATCCTTTCAGACCTGACGGTATTGACACCATGCTCAAAGCCAGCCACATACCTCACAGCTCTGTTGTGGAAGGCCAGCATTATCTCTGAAACAGGTTTCTGTGGCACTGGAGGGTGTCCCATGTGGAGGGTTCACCCTCCCGGTCCTTGAGCCCCATCCGGTGTGCATCCTGCCCTGTCGGGCTCTAGGAAGCAGCACCCTGAGCACTCCCTGGCCTCTCCATAGTGGCATGGCCACTGTGTTCCCTGTGCTTGCTGTAGGGACAGCTCAGCCAGTGGCTCCCTCTCACATCACCCAGCCCCTTGGTAATTCAGGGAGCAGTACCCCTGAGCTTTCTACCCAGGTACCAGCTGAACATGGAGGGTAGGTAGTGTCCACAATCTAACCACAGAGCCACCAGGACTGTGTCCCCCCCCCCCCCCAGGGAGATGGGCTGCCTCCCAGGGCTGAGGCCACACAGGAAGACTCTGGGCTGGAAGCGCCTCCTGGCAGCACAGCATCCTGAGGCCCAGGCTCACTGGAGGCTGACCCCGCCTGCCTATCTGCCGATCATGCAGGAGGCCTGAAGAAACACCTCCTATCTGGAAGCACACACCTGCTCCTCCTGGGCTCCACGCCCCCTGGGGCTCCTTGTGGTCAAAATGATAAGAAGAAGAGTTATCAGTGCAAAAGGCTCTGGCACTTCTCTGCCAAGGGAAAGAGACAGCAGCTTGTAGAGCAAGTCAGAGGACAGTAGTTCCCTGAGAAGGAGTGGAGACAGCTAATCGTGCCTAGCAGGCATCTGCAAGCACGTCTGAGGGCAGGCTCTTGTGTTCCAGCTCCTGGCACAAATCGATGACATCAAACAGAACCACACAGTTCAGGAGCACACTGAGCAAACTGCTAAGACATGGAGAAGGCTTTTTACTCAAATATAAACCTACTTTTGGGGGGTRTGTTTGGTGCTGGGATGGAGCCCAGGGCCTTGAAGGAGCTAGGCAAGTAAGTACTCTGCTACTGAGCTTCAGCCCCAGCTAAACCTACATTTTTGGATAGGGATTTTCCCACTAAAATTAACAAATTAACACTGGAATTCCTTCTTGTCACCTCAGCTGTTGTGGCATCTCAACTTGAAGACATACAACTGCTCCATAACCGTAGCACTCGGAGACGGTCAACACCTGGATGCTCTTAGGATAATCAGCTACCAATTAATAGTGATCCCCACTAACCCAAACACCAACCCCAGATGGCCCTGATAAGCTATCTATGACAACTTCTGAGGAGACCCTATGGTCTAACGAGGGCTTTTCATCAATTTCCCCAGGACATAAAATATGCCCTATCTGTTTAAAAAAAATTGGTGTGCTGACTACAGGTTTATTCCTGAAATCACACATTTAACATTCCAACAAGGCAGACCACAACAGCTCCCACCAGGAGGGACAGTCCTTGGTTGTCTAAGGCACTGTTTACAATATGCTAGCATAGGACAGGTGGGGACTGTGGGAGTGACAGGAGAGGTCACAGGACAGGCAGGGCTGGCCCCGGTGATCCCAGCACACTGGACACTTAGAAACCCTGACATCTGATGATTCAGAAATAGAGCAAAACTGGATGTCTCCACCAAGCCCCGAGCCACTTACAGGAGCACCGGGCACACTGTGGGACCCTTGTGTCTTTGATACCCCATGGGGGCCTGAGTCATTTGGTCCTTTATGTAAGGTGCTTCCCCTCAGCCCCACACATTAAGCGCTGGACACTGGAAGATGGACCAGCCCCAGTCTGTGAGACAGCTCAGCCCAGGGAGACCTCTTTCCTTGATACTCTTCTAAAAGAGGAAAAGGATCTTTTCCATCAAAATCTACAACAATCAACTGAACTGTGAAATGACTCTCTTTATACCTAAGCACCCCAAGAATCTCCTAGACTCCCAAGTGGGTGGCAGATGAGAGGTGGCACCTGCCTGCTCCCCTCTGGTGCAAACCTGACCTGAACCCAAACTCTGCCCCCAGGAGGGCACTTTCCATGGCAAGGAACTGCCAACAAGGAATTCTGTGGCAGGAACAACCTCACAGGCCCTTCTCTCCAACCATAAAGATGTCCTCCTTTGTCTCTTTCCACTGAGCTGGAAGCCCAGCAGGGGAAGGGCCCTCCATCTCTGCCTGCCAGCTATGTAGACATCCCTCCAATGGTTAAGACAAGCAGTGGCCTAGCAGTAACTCCAGCCACTCCAGAGGCTGAGGAAGGAGGGAAGCTGAGGAAGGAGGACAGAAGTTTAATGCCAGCCTGAGCAACGTGGTGAGACCCTATCTCAAAGTAAAAATAAAAAGGGCTGGGATGTACTTTAGCAGCAGAGCGTCTCTGGGTTCAATCCTCACTACCATAAATAATAAATTAAATGTTCTCTATTTGTATGTTGTTTCTAAAATCATTCATTTTGATTTCTTTTTAAAAAACCACTCGATTACAATTCTATGGAATAAGGTCCAGTTTCTTTGCCAGGGCAACCTGGGAGTCCTGGCCAGGTGGTCACCAATCACCACTCAGGGTAATCAGGAGGTGCGTCGTCGGGGTTCGCACAACTTTGTATCACCTGATGAAAGACTGCTGAGTGCTTGATTAAAGAGCCCAGTCCCGGTCACCTTTTTAAAAATGGTTCAAATGCTGGTGCAAAGTAGGTATATTTTTGGCAGAATTAATTTTTTAAAAAGAGGGAAACTCCAATTCATTCAGAGAATGTCCCAAAGGAGATGCTCCCACGAAGCCGGTGGCTGGAAGCGCCAGCCCATGGAGAGCCCAGGGCAAGCCCTATAACAGGCGCGGCCACCTGCAGGTCTCCACCRCCCCGACGGCGTCCAGGCGAGCCAGGCCACCCCGCGCGCAGCGGCCCCTCGCGGCACCGCTCCCTACCTGCCAGCCTCCCGCGCTCGGGGCGCACCAGCCCCAGCAGCTTCCGGGCTTCCGAGCGCCCGGCCACAGCGGGGCGCAGCCGCCAGTCCTCCCCGGGGCTCGCTGGTGGCCGGTGCCGCCCAGCCTCTGTCCCAGCCCCGGCCGCCGCCGCCGGGCCGCTCTGGAGCCCGCTGCCCTGGGACCCGGCCCAGCGCCCCGGGGCCCGCGCAAGACCCGCGCCGCCCGGCAATCCCGGCCGCGCTGACAGGAGAGTAGGGGCTCTGGCGGCCCGGGTCCACTCGTGGGCCGACGATGTCCACGCGCGGGCAGCAGGGGTCCACGCGCGGGCGGCCCGGGTCCACTCATGGGCCGACGCTGTCCAGGTGCCGGTTGCCGGGGTCCATGCACGGACGGCCATAGTCCACTTGTGGGCCGAAGATGTCCCCGCGCGGGCGGGTGGGGCCCGCCGCGTGAGCAGCAGCAGCGGCCAGGCTAGGGGGCCACGCATGGCGCCGCGTCCAACCGGAGCTTCTCACCCGCCAGTCCCGCCACGCGCCGGAGGACCCCTCCGGCTCGAGCGCAGGGCGTGGAGGCCGCGCCGCCCGCCCCTCCCCGGCCGCTGTCACCCGCCCCATCAGGCCGGCGCCCCCAGGCCGAGCCCGCCTCCGCCTCCGCCGCGGCAAGGCCCACCCCGGGGCGGCCCCAACCCGCGCCACCCCGAGCGCCCCCGCCGGGCAGCCAGTGCCGCGCACGGGCCTCGGAACTGGGCGCCCGCGCCTGCGCACTGCAAGGTTCCCGGTCGCTCCCCCGCGACCTCCGCGTGTGGCTCTGGGGCGCGCGGCCACGTTCTCAGGCCAGAGACCGGCGGAGCGCACTGAAGTGGCGTACGCGGCCCTGGGGGTCTGGAGGCGCGAGGGAGGGGCGTTGCGGGGAGCCGATGCGGGGACGCGGTGGAGCGGGACAGAGGCGAAGGGGAGGGGCAGGCGGAGGGCGGGTCACTCTGTGTGGTGCAGAGTCCCGGCGGAGGCGCGGAAGCCAGCGGGAGGACGCGGCTAGGGGAGGCGTGGAGGAGAGGGCTGGCAGGGAGAAACTGGGATGACCTGGCGTGGGGTCACCGGGCCGCCAGAAGACCACTGGAAGCATCCACGCGCTCAGGGAGAGGATGCGCCCTGAGTCTTCGTGGGCATCTGAGCTGGAACCGCGGGAAACCATCCGGCCCACTCGTGAGCGCGGGCAGTGTAGAGTTCTGTGGACTCCTAGGTATTTTCACCGGACTCACCTCATTTGTCTCACAAAATGAAAGCAAGCAAAAACTTCAACAATCAAGATAAATATTTCAGTGCAATTTTAAGAATTTTAAGAAATCAAGAGAAATGCAAAAAAAATGTTCATAATGAACAAAAGTTTAAAATCCCAAATGCAGGATCCAGCCCCATTCACGTTATCATCTCTTGCCACTCAAATCCAGTCCTGGAAGTTTCACTTACAAAAACCTGTAATCTGTCATCTGATATATTTTTTAAATGTTTATTTTTTAGTTGTATTAATAAATATTTTTATTTCATTTGTTTATTTTTATGTGGTGCTGAGGATCCAACCCAGGGCCTCGAACAGTTTGCTAGGCAAGCGCCCTACCGCTGATAACAGCCCCTGTTATCTGATATTTTAAAAATTTCCATTAAAATAATTTTTTCATTGCTTGATTATTGAGATACAAGGGGTGGAAGTGGAAGGGCCAATAACAGGAAGGCAGTGTAGGATTAGGGATTATGTCATGGCTTGATCTTCCTGTGAAGGAGGAAGTAAAGTCCTCTGAAATCCAGTCCTTCAGACCTAGGGCAGAATCCTCCCCTGCAGGGTGAAATTGACCTTTGAGTAGGCAATGCCTTCTGAGGTAGACCTTATAAGGTGACCTTATGATGCATCCTGCCACCTTCAACCCTCCCAGATGGAGAGGAAGTGGCCATCTCAGCCCAAACCTAAGTTTCCTCTTTTTCCCACTTTCCAGAAAACACTTGCTGTGGAGGGCCAGGGAATGAGGCACTGGCCACAGACTCTTGCCTTCATCAACCTGGAGTCTGCCCTGAATTCTCAGCCAGTATGCACTAGGCCTGGAGTGCATGGGAGAACAGCTCCAGAATAGCTGATTCATAAAACAGGCTCTCCATGTTGTTACACTTCTAGAACTTAGTTGGGGAGGTAATCTGAAAACAGTTATCCCCTAACAAAAATGTCAGGCTTAAAAAAAAAAAAGTCACCCAGACAACCATATTAATATACCTAGCCAGCATTCTTCAGGAGCATAAGAATACACAGAAAATGTCCAGGATTTTTAGAAAGTATTGGAAATGAAGGAAGTTTCTCTGAAAAGGCAAGGATGCCCCAGGTGCATGGGGAGGACCACATTGCTTAGGGGTGGGTGCACCCAGCACAGCAGCTAGAATAAAAGCCCATCCTGCCCTCAGGACAAGGACATTTGGTGAAGGTGTGGCTGACCTCAGACAAAATCTGACCCTCAGGGAGTAGGGTCAGTAGGCTTAGCAGCTGACAGGTATGAATTCAGAAGGCAGCTCTTCTGAGGAAACCCAGACAGGATTACCTCAAGGGCAGACTTCTTAGGTGTCTGCCACCTCAGCAAAGTGGAAGCCCAAGTGGACACAGGAATGCTGGAAGCCAAAAGCCGCTCCCTGACTTGCAGCCTGACCCTGGGTCATCTGATCCTTCCCAATGCATTTCTTTCCCCATAACTCAAGCTCACTGTATGACAGAACAATGCCTGGCAGAGGGATCAGTGAGGCATGCACCAGCAACTTAGTGAGACCCTGTCTCAAAATAAAAAGTCCTTGGGATGGGCTCAGAGGTTAAGCACCGCTGGGTTCAATCTTTAGTACCCAAAACCAAACAAACCAAAAAACAAAAAACAAAAAAACCAAACAAACAAAAAAGACAATTCTTACATTTTCCAATGGTATATAGTTGTATTCTATTTATTCTATTTTATTCAATTAAAAAATGTTGAATCTTTGGTAAGTAACTTAGCATCACAGGTTTTTTTTTTTTTGTTTTTTTTTGGGGGGGTGCCTAGGGCCTTGTGCATGCAAGGCAAGTACTCTACCAACTAAGCTCTATCCCCAGCCCAGCATCATAAAATATTAAAACTTTATTTCCAAGGTACCCCTTTCTCCCTCTAATCCAATTGCCTTGCTGTCACAACTTTATTTTCTTGACATCTTGAAAACCATTTTAAAATATGATAATCCTAAAAATGAGGAGAAATCAATGTAGTATTAATTCTAGAATCATATACCTAATTTATTGAATAGTCCCATTGCAAATGTAATGTCAAACCATGGGTTTTAAATTGTTTTTGATTTTCTTTTTAATTGATTCATTTAGAATCTCTATTCTGTCAGATTGCTCCAAATACCTACAGATTGTACACACGCACATAAACACACACACACACACACACACACACACACACACAAGGCAATGCACCTCAGACTGGTTAGTGAAAACCTTCCTCCCCTCGGCCTCCCTTTGGACATGCGTGGAGGGAGAAGTAAGCCCAGCTCACAGATGCACTGTCTAAGGCAAGAGTGTGAATGTGGCACTAACTATTGTGAATCCATCTCAGAATCATCAAGATAAGTGTTAAATTACACATGCACCTTGATATTTATGATGACATTTTTGAAATGTGCAAAGTTACGGTTTTTACATAAAAGTAAGCAAAATACCAAACATCATTGAAGTTGTTACTGCCCATGTTTAGGTATTAGGAAATAAATGAACATTATCATTATGATTCATAAATGAATGTATGAATCATTTATAAAAATTGATTACTGATGTTGTTATGACCAATATAATAATGATCATATAATTGGCCTCTTATTGACAGTGAAAGTCTAAAGGGTTCAGCAACTATAATTGTACTCAGATCACCCAAATTTGGATATAATCTCAATTAACATGAGTTAACATTGATGTAAATGGTTTTTTTTTTTTTTTGTACTGGGGATTGAACCCAGGGGTGCTTTGACACTGAGTCACATCCCCAGCCTGTTTTTTTATTTTGAGACAGGGTCTCACATAAGTTGCTTGGGGGTCTCACTAAGTTGCTAATGCTGGCTTTGAACTCATGATCCTCCGGCCTCAGCCTCCCAAGCCACTGGGATTACAGGCATGTACCACCATACCCCACTAACGTTGATGTAAATGTAAAAATGATATTTTTATGTATTTAAAAGTTATATTCTCAAATTTTAAATTTGTCTATAAATGTTAAATGAAAATACAAATTATGAATTCATACTGAGATTTTATTTTATTTTATTTTATTTTAGAATTTGGTTGTTTCAGGACATCAAGGGCTCCGGACATTGTGACAGTTTCCCTTTAAAGTTACAACGGGAATCAAGAACAACGCCGTATGGATCCCTCCCTGGGTAGCAAGGAAAGCCATACTGAGATTTTAAATCAAAATAAAATGTTTAATGAATTCTTAAAAAAAAAAAAAGACATTACTTATTTTACACATGCTCATCTGTGTGTCCAGCCCAACATTCAGACACCTGATTGCATATCTGAAGTCAGGATGTATGCTGCTGGTCCTGAACAGCAGCACTCTGGCTATCCTGGGGTGGCTAGCAGGCCTTGGAAGGACCATGTGAACGAGACACTGTCTTTCTAGTCTGTTTTAGAAAGCCTGAAATCTTCCTCTGGCTTCTCTGTAGTCACCATGCCACCTGCCAGCCAGCCACTCCCACCCCCAAATAGAGTTCCTTGAAGGGCAGTTCCCAGGGCTGTGGGCTGGCCTAAAGGAGCAGAGCAGTGTGTCCCCCTCCACCAGGTAAGCGCTGGGAACACCCAGCAGGTAGTCAGAGTTAAGAGGTGTCCAAGATTGACTTCCAGGTCACATTTGCGGACAGGCAGGAGGTGACTGCTCAAGGGGCAGGGGGGATGTGGAATAAGACTGGCACTGCAGACTCAAAGCTGGCTGATCCCCCTTGACCAGATGGGATAACCTTTGAGGTCACCTTAGAATGGGTGCCACTTCTCTCTCCTCCAACCCCTCTTCCTCAAGCTGTGAACACCAGATTAGCAGCACTAGCTGGTAGGCAGAAGATGGAGCCCCCCCAGACAACTCCCAGCAGCCCCTCTGCCAGTCTCCAGGCTTCGGGCACTTCTTAGTAAGTGGTCAGAGCAGGTCAGACAGGTTTCCTTCTGTCCCAGGAGAGCAGGTGGCTGTGCCAGCCTCTAGTGTGCTGAATGGTGCCTCGGGCACATGCACCCTCTAAGGTTGGCTGAGCGGGTCGCCTCTTCCCTCTCCTGGGAGGGATACCAGGCAGGCACAGGCTTTTGTTAGGTTGGGGTTCTACGTTGGTACCAAACCTCTGCCCCTGTCTTTGCCATTGCTTTTCTCCTTTCTCCACCCCACCCCCCACCCAGTTTCCCAGAGCTGGAGAGCAGGGGTGGGAGGGTGGCAGCAGCAGGGCTCCTGCCTAAGCTAGTGCTCTGCTGCACTCTGGCTGGGCTGTCTTCTGGGGAACCCCGGCATCCCACTCAGGRTGCCTCCTACGCCTTTCTCAGCCACCAGGAAGCCTGTTTTGACCTTCAGCATCTTGCTACTGGTCTGCTCCCACCCTCCTGGTGTCTGTGCCACCCACCACAGCCCCGCCCACTGCAGCACCCTACTCCTTGTCCTGACCCTCTGCGGGGGCAGGCTGAGCCCAGCACAGCTGCCTCCACCTCTGCACACAGCCTTTGGCCACCTCAGAGGAGGGGTGCCCCGCTGTTGTACCCACACCCCATGCAGAGCAGGCTTCCTGAGGTCAGCTGCTACAGATGGACTGCAGTCCCCAGTGTGTGGCTTGTTGCCTCCAGAGCCTGCTGAGCCTCTTTGTGGCAAGGGATTTGCCTTCTATTTGGCAGGAGGTCCCCTGCAGCTTCCGTGGCACCTCAACACTGTCTTAGTGGGGCAAGCTCCTCTCTCCACCTCCAGGGCTGCAGCCTGCTGGTCACTTCATGCTCATCCTGCTGGGTCAGTGGATGCCTCTAACAGTCCCTTGTTTGGAGGAGGGTGAGGGCTCTGAAACTAGGGGACACTTGTGAGAGGATGAGTCATACTCCCTTGAAGGTCTTCTGTTGAAGACACTGGACACCGGGAGAAGTGTATCTGCAAGCTGAAGGGGAGGCCTCTGCAGAAGCAGTCCTGCCCCACCTGGGACCTGGCCTCAGCCTCAGGCTGGGACTAAACAGGTGTCTCCATGACACTTGTTGCCATCACCAGGCACCCAGGAAAACACCACCTTCACTGGACCATTCCTAGAGAGCACCAAGAGTTGGCCAAATCAAGGACTATGGCTGCGTGCAGAGGAGAGGTGCCTGTCAGCGCCCTGCTGCACAGGGGTCACAATCACAGGCTTCTGTCATAGCTACCAGTGGCTTCTGGGATGGTTGCCTAGACTTTCTGATTCACATGAGAGGAAACG